ATAATTACTACTCCCCACAACTTAAATCTTAAAGTCTGCTTTAGGGTGGATTATGTCCCCTCAAAAAGATGTTCTAGCCTCAGAAGTTCTAGCCTCTGTACCTAAGAACAAAGATTACCAGAAAGATTCAGAAGCTAAGAAAAAGGAAGAAACAGATTTTTCTTGAGAATATCCCAAAGTAACCAACTGTGCCGCCACCTTGACTTGTGAGAATATGTTTCTATCGTATGAAACACCCAGTTGTGGTACTCAGATACAGCAGCCTAGGAGATTAATATAAAAGAATAGTTTGTATGTGAACTTTCACTTTTAGTTTTACATTTTAGATATATAATTGGTTAAACAAGCATTTACACGATGCATGACCCATTCTCAATGATTATTCTTGAGATCACATTTTATTTTAATTTGTTACCAATGCATTACTAATATTGATTCTAGAAGTTTCAAAATGTCTTTAGAAAAAAAATTAATTTGTTGGTAATAAGCACTTTTTAGAAATGTACCTGCCTTGAAATGAAACATAGTCATTGAAATAGTCTCATTTTCTCCAGCCTCTAGTTTTAAGAGGCAGTAAAGTGAAATCGTTAAGGGTTTGCCTTAAGAGGCTATCAAGGCTCAAGTCCTAATTCTGATACATTCTAGCTACTGTATATGACCTTGGATAAGTTACTTAGCTCACTCTGCCTTGGTCCCCCAAATAACAAAAGCATTGATCTTATAAGGTTATTGGGTTGATTAAAAGAAACAATACATGTCAATGTCTCAAATAGTGATTGGTACCTAATGAGTGCTATGGTATGATTGTTTAGGTCCTCCTCCCACCATATATTGAGATCTTAACTTCTATGGTGGTGATAGTAAGAGATGGGGGCTTTGAAGGGGTTATTAGACCATGTAGGCAGAGCTATCATGATTAGGATTAGTGTCTTTGTGAAAGAGACTCATAGCATGCTCACTAGCCCCTTCCACCCTGTAGAGATACACCAAGATGATGCTTTGTATGAACTAGGAAACAAGTCCTCATCAGACACCAAATCTACTGGCACCTTGACCTTGGACCTCCCAGTCCCCAGATCTGTGATAAATAAATTTCCGTAGTTTGCTGTTTGTTTCATTTTGCTATAGGATGTATGCTTGCCAGAGAGAGACAGAAAGAGAGAGAGAGGAGAAATCACCTACCTTGGGGGATAGTCATGCTATGATCTTTCTCATCTATTCCTCCCCCTTGGGATTTTGGGTAGATGCACACATATGCCTGGCATGTTTTTCAAGCTTCCTGGTCTGAGACTTAACCTGTGAGGTATACATGTGGGATCTTACTGCTTTAACCACCAGGCTACAGAGCCAGTCCAAATTTTCATTCTTTTTAATCTACTAGTTTATTGTATTTTGTTATAGCAGACCTAATGCACTAAGACAGTGAGGTATTCAATACAGGCTAAATGTTAGTCTCTTCCTTTCTGTGCTTCTAACCACTGCCATGAGTTGACTGCATAAAGCCACTCTGACATGCCACTCACCTTCTCAGCAAGAATGGTGAGTGCAGATATAGCATTATATATAAGACAATGTTAAATACCATCCAAACTCATACCCCACCTAACTTTCTGCTTTTTTCCCCCCTCTACTTTCTATCTATTGAAATTCCACTCACCTTTAAAACTCAGTTTATATTTTATCTTCTATTGATAGTTCTTCCCAGATCACCTATGTCAGATTTATTCTCTCTTCCTCCATCATATTACCACAGAACAGGACTGAAGCTCTTGTACACAGCCTGCCTAGGAATTATTTGTACATGCTATGTCTCAATTGACAGATGATGACCTCCTGGAAGGAAGGACTGTATCTTTTGAACTTTGTACCCATAGCACCCAGTAGAGAATTTTACACTTAGTACTTACTCAATAAATGACTGTTAAACTTGCTTGAACCTGCATTATTTTTTTCTTTGTGGCAGATGCCATAAGAAAAACATAAAATAAATGAATTACTTTTTTTTCTTTCCATTGCAATATATATGCCCTGGGCTAGCGGGTATTTGCAAGCCTGGTTTAGAATTTAGGAAAGTCATCAATCTAAGAACGAAGAGAAAATGCATTTTAAATCACAAGAGCAATACAGCCTTATATAAGACCTTCTAGCAAGGCAATTATCGATGGCGCAATAACCCAGGTGCTAGTGTTATTATGAACAAAAATCTGAGGTGGAGAGACAATGAGTGATCTCAACTTTTGTATTCCATAGGTATGCAATTCAATGAAACATGTACAGATGGAAAGTTTAGATCTGAGAATCATATGTGGGTATCATAATGCAAATAATTGGCTTTCTTTCTTAAGAACATCTGTTGAAACATCTGAAGGCAGTTGTTTATACTGCTGCCAAAATGCCGACAAATATAATAATTCTCCAATGAGGTTAGAAATATCCGGGGGAAGAAAAAGACTTTTTTATGTAGTTCTCTTTTTATTAAATCTTGTTGTTGTTTCTCTAATATGGCCCATTGGAGTTACTCTATAATATTTGTTGAATGAAAGTTGAATGAATAGCAGAAACTCCTTAAACAGTTGTTGAATGAATCTTTTTTTTTTAGAATTACAGATACATTTTCAGCACATAGTATGCTCAGATTTTACCATACCATACACCACTTTTATTTGGCATTAATTTTAATAGTGCTACTTCTACTCTGAATATTATAGGATGTAATTGGCATGTAAATATCACCCAAAAAATCAACACTATAGAAAACGTATGACTAAAACTAAGTATGTAATGGCAACATTTTAATATATTAATGTCACTTTTATTATTATGAAACAACAATTGGATTGTGGGCTTGCATAATCATGTTTGCTTCAACAAACAAAATAAAAATCTAAAAACTTACTAATATCTATAGCTACAGCACCTGTAATAAGATGATAGCTTGTGCTTTATAAGCTCCAAGATTTCTTGGATATAAAGAAAATTGCAGAAGATGAAGAAGTCATTTCTCCCCATACTTCCTTCCTTGAATTTCCAGCAGCTCTCTCTTCTTTACTCCTGTGTAAGTGAGGCGACTGGGCTCCCCAAAGGCTGCCCAAATTTCATTCTGCCAAGTTTCAGTACAGAAAGAGCATGTTAAATAATAAATGTGAGTTTGAGTGTAACTAATAAAATTGGAATGTTAAATAGCAGCATGCTTTTGAAAACCAGCCTCCTTGTGAGGATGCTCCCTGTGCAAGTCCACAGGAAATCATTCTGAAGGGAGTGATATTAATTAGTAATATAATTTATCATCTGGAAGCCCTTCCCTTTGATGGCTGCTGTGGTACAGTTCATAAGCCTCCAAACGAGTGCTCAAAGAACATGGTTCCAACCACAATTTCAGTTTTGTTTTCCATCCCTGAGCAGATAAAACAGTCGTATTTATTTCTGCTTATCGAACTTTTCCATATAATGTGATGAAAGTTTATGAAGTCACAAAACATGTGCTAATGAAGAGTTTTCGAGGAAAAGGTAAAATGCTTGCAATGTAGTAAGAGGGGGGAAAAAAAGAGCAGAATCCAAAATTAAAGTAAAAAATTCTGATCCCAGATTTCTTGGTTTCAGTCTTTACTGTGCCAGAGAATAGATACGCCACCTTGACAAGATAATTAATTGTTCTGTACTTCAGTTTCCTCAACTAGACACTGAAGGTAATAACAGTCATCGCAAAATGATATCGAATGCTCAGAATAGGACTGACAAATACTCAATCCATAATGATAACTATTATTATTATTAATTTTTTTTTATATTTTTTTCCACAGCACACATCCACTTGCTAGAGAGAAAGAAAGAGGGGAAGTGAGAAATCTCTCCCTAGAGAGATGGTCATGCCACAATTCCTTCTCCACCTCTCCTTTTAGGATTTGAGGCATTCATGCCACAATTCCTTCTCCACCTCTCCTTTCAGGATTTGAGGCATACGCACACACATCCAGCATGTTTTTCAAGCTGCCTGGTCCGGTACTCAAACCACAGCGTTGGCAATGTGGGATTCAGCACTTTAACCACACTTCCTCTGGCCCATTATTATTATTTATTCACAGTAATTTCAAATCTGTAAAGGAAAAATGTGGGGTTGAGGAGGGTAATCGGGAAGGCAGTTGCCAAATTTCATGAATACATTTACTTCTGAATGATGTACTTATGGGCAATTATTTTCTGCTTCCTTACACTTTTCAGAATGTATTTTTTTTTTTACAATGAACTTAAAAATAAAATTTTATGTAGACATGATTTGATGGGAATTAAGGCGGAAATGTGCAATAGGTTAAAACTTATGACTGATTATACAGCATTAATGACATATTAATTAAGCCTATTTTGATGTGATAAATTTCTTATTTATCCTATTTTACTTTTGTAAGATAGATGATGTGACAGAATTCACATCCCCTTATTTTGGTTAATTCTAAACATAACTAAAAGATGCTTTTTAAAGTTTAACCATTATCAATTTTACATTCAGAAGTGAAGTCAAATGTTTACTTTAATGTCAATATTTTGACCTACTAAAACTGAAAATATTTTACTTTTTAATTTAAAAAATCCCATGCAAAAGTCCCAAAGGTGCCTTTCATGTTTAAGCTTTCATTAGCAGCCACTTTGGTCTCTGACACATACTGCGCAGATATTGAAGCGTTAATATTACAACGGCTTGATTACAAAAGGCAATGATTAATTTTAAAGCAGACAAAAAAGATATGCCCTGATTACAAAGGAATGATTACAGCGGAATGTCAGACACTGCACATTCAGAGCCGGCTTTGCCATTGTCAAAGGTAAGACTTTGCAAAAGTTTATATTTAGAATCGTGGATACTTTGTACTTTAAAACACTGGGTGTGCAAGCTCCGCAGACCGAGCACCCCCACTCCACGCAGCCTGTAGCCAAGCGGTGTGATCGCAGACTGGGCCCTCCGCGCCGCCGTAGTTCCCGGTCTCCCGTTCTCCGGAGCCAGGGCCCGCGTGAGGCCCTTGGCTGAGGGAACCTGTCACCTGTGGTGGTGGTAGTAGGTATCATCTTGTCGCTAGAACACTTTGAGATTTCATTTAAAAAGAGAAGGAAATGAGAGGAAGAGGACCACAGGAAGGCCCTGCCACGCAGACCGGGAGGCCGTGGCCAAGGATTCCATTTTTGTTGCCTCAAGGGCAAAACACACACGGGGCGGCTGAGTCCCCCGGGACACAGGGCACAGTTAGAAGCTGGTGGTGGCCGTGAGGGAGACACGCGGGCTTGTAAATTCTAACGGGAGCAGAGGCCGGGGCGGGAAAGAGCAGCGAAGGGGGAGGCCGTGCCTGGACCGCGGAGCACACAGGGCCGCCTCGGGCTCCAGGTCTAACGGGAGCAGAGGCCGGGGCGGGAAAGAGCGGCGAAGGGGGAGGCCGTGTGCCTGGACTGCGGAGCACACAGGGCCGCCTCGGGCTTCATGTCTGGCGCGAGGTGGAGGCAGGGTTGGAGGAGGCCAAGTCTGGCTTGGACTCGTTCTAGAATGATCTTTATCATGCCTTCCAGATCCTCAGACTTGGTTATAAAATATTGATCGTGAAGAAAGGAACTGCAGGAGCCCGGGCCTGAGATGAGTTTGGAGTCCTTGTTCCAGCACATCGTCTACACCGAGCACTGGGCCGAGCAGAGCCGCCGGGTGCTGCGGGAAGGTCCGAGCTGCCCCGGCCTGGGGCCTCTCCTGCCAGCCCAGAGTCGGCGGGCACCGGGTGGGGAGGTTGCCTTCCACTGGAGGGAATCAAAGGCTGAGGACACGGGCACTTCAGAAAGATTGATGTGTTGAACGATTTCCTTTATATTTATCTACTGTAATTTATATTTACTGTAATCTATATTACAGTAAAGTCGGAAGTAACCAGATGCCGTGAAAACATTAAGAAAACAACCGAGGTACTGAAGGAAGAGAAAATCAAGTTGGAGTCTAAGGTATGGCTGGGTGGCGCTGGGTCACTATGACTTGGAAAAGTCGGTCTTGACTTTCTGGGGCTGTTTCACTGTTTATCCTGTTGTCCTTCAAGACAGGAGCATAGGACTTCTGTGCTGGCTAGTGTAGTTCCGTGTCGCCTGTTTACAGTTCTGAATCTGGTGACATTTTCAGTCCTAACGTGAACTTGCCCTAAAGAGATCAGTTAAAGTGAGGAAGAATTATCCGTTTTGTGAGATGGTTAATGTTTTAAAAGAGCACAATGTCTTCGGAAGAATAATCGTTCAATAAGTACTTGGTGCAGTCTATACATTTTGAATAATAAATAATTTAAGTGTGCTCCATTGATGTAATGATTGAAAGTAACTCTCAGATGTGTCTCTGCTTACTGTTTCCCAATTCTCCACTACATTTTGGACAAGTCTTCCATACAAATCTGTTCTTTTTTTCCACTAGCCTTTCTTTCTTTTTTTTTTTTTTTTTTGAGCAGCTTTTGTAAAGTTCTGTTATAAGTAGAAACAGGAGAGTCTGATGGCTTCTTGGATGATTTTGAAGGGTGACGGGTGGAGTTTTGGAGAGGCAAAAAGAAGTTAGTAAGAAAAAGGAACTTGGAGTAGAGGGAGGAATCCGATATGCCTAAGGCATGGAAGGAGAGGAAGGTGTTCAAAGCAGAGAGCTGATATCTGGGAATAGGGAAAAATCATTGCAGGTTTTTGACCAGGGAGTGGGTAATAAAACTGAGGAAGATCTTTCTGAATTCTCTGATCAAGAAGATGGGAACAGATAATTAGTTAGGAAGCAAAAAAATCACTTAAGTATGTCACAATGAAGGCATAGTATGGGTGGGGGCAGTCAGTTATTTAGAAATATTTCTTCAGGACCTAGTGATGAAGAAAGCAAGCATGTGCAGTGGGCAGTCTTTTTGCTTCAACTCTATTTTAACTTTCCACTCTAAGGCATTTTCAGTTTTCTTTGTGAATAAAGTAATTGTAGAACCCTTCTCTACCTGGTGAACTTCAGCTTGTCTTTCCAAGTAGTGCTCATACATCACTCCCGTGTATATTTTGCTAAAATTTTTTTTAAGAACAATATATCATTGTATTTGTATCTTCTACTATTTTGTGACTAACAAATCTTTTTTAGAATTTTTTTTTTTTTACTCATCATTTATTCCCAATGTCTCTATCCAAGGCCTGACATATAGGGGATATTAGTGTGATGAATGAATTAATGAGTACTAATGTTATGATATAAAATAAGGAGAATGCAGTCCTTTTTAAAGGATTTTTAATTTAACTTTATTTTTATTATTATTATTTTCTAATTTAATCAGAGAGAGAGAGAGAGAGAGAGAGAGAGAAAGTAAGAATGCAAGCTACCAGGCTCGGGACTTGAACCGTGGTTGGCCATGTGGTAGTCCAGCATCTTTAACCACCACACCACCTGCCACAACCAGAGTCTTTTAAATTCAGAATTCACTGAGACCCTAGGTCCTATTTTACATGTCACTAGTATGTAAACTTTCTTTTATTAAAAATGCTAAAAGCTGGCACGCCGGGTGCGTGTGCGTGTGTGCCCAAGATCCCGAGAGGAGAATGGAGGAGAAGGGATTGTGGCGTGGGCATCCCCCCTGGGGGGGAGATTTCTCACTTTCTATCTCTCTGTCTCTCTCTGTCTGTCTGGCGAGCAGACGCGCCCTATAGCAAAAACCTCTCAAAAAAAAAAAATGCTAAAAGCTGGCACGCCGGGTGCGTGTGCGTGTGTGCCCAAGATCCCGAGAGGAGAATGGAGGAGAAGGGATTGTGGCGTGGGCATCCCCCCTGGGGGGGAGATTTCTCACTTTCTATCTCTCTGTCTCTCTGTCTTTCTGGCGAGCGCAAGCACCCTATAGCAAAAATCACGCAAAAAAAAAAAAAATGCTAAAAGCTGATAGGATGGAGGAAACATTAAGAATGGCATGATGGGAGGAAAGCAGCTGACATGGTGGTTAAGGTGCTGGACTCTCACAGGGCCGATCATGGTTCAAGTCTTGGACCTGGTGGCTTGAAACTCACACTAGGTGCATGTGCATGTGTGTGCACACTCAAAACTCCCAAGAGAGTAGAGGAGTTTGGATGTGGTATGGCCATCTCCGCTTGGGGGTAGGGGTAGAAGAGTTCTCACTTTCCCTCCCACTGTCCCTCTCTGGCAAGTGCACAGACCTTTAAAAAACATGTCATAATGTACCTTTCTTTTGCTTGAAAAAGAAAAGATACTTTCAGGATGTTTAAGTAGAAGCTAATAACAGTAATGGACAACATATATACGAGTAGGAAATGTATAGCTACACCAGTTGAGCACTCGTTATATGCTGGGCACTTCATCCATATTAACTGCCTTAATCCTAACAGGAGATTTGTGATAAGACATCATCCTATCCCATCTTTATAGGTGAGGGAACTGAAAAGATAAATGACTTGTCAATGATATGTGATTTTAAAACAATTAAACTTCCATTATGAAAGTAACAACTAAGTAATGATGATAAGTAGTTTTTTTGTTTGTTTTTTTTTGTTGTTGTTGTTGTTGTTTGTGTTTTAGGTTTTTGCCATAGAGTGCATGTGCTTCCTGGAAAGAGACAGGGAGATGGAAAATGAGATATCACACCCAAGGGGGATATTCAAACTTCAGTCCCTTCTCCTCCTCCTCTCAGGATTTTGGGCATGCATGCCCATGCTTTCAATATGATTTTCTAGCTGCTGGGTCAGGAACTTGAACTGTGGGCTGCCATTTTGGAATCCAGTGCTTTAACCATGATAGCATGTTTTTTTAAACAAATTTCTTGAGCTCATTTTAAAGTTTTTCCTTCATGAATTTCACATATAATATTCTGAAGTTTTACATGTAGTGTAGGGCAATATTTTTTAAAAAGTCACTTATGTATGTTCTTGTAAAAGTGCATTTTTCCTGGATTGGTGAAGATATTGACCTGACAGCTAATAGATGTTGTTTTTTCTTTTAAAAAAGAGTTTGCTCTTTGTTAGAGTTTCTTCATTAAAAAAAGAGGGTGGGAGGTACGCTCTAAGATATTTTCTTTGTTTGCAGCCTGTTTTTCCTGAAAATGGAAATGTAATTTGTTGCTGTATACACACAAAAGAGATGATTCAATTATTTGTACTACAGAAGACAGCAAATCCCTAACATTGTTTAGAAACATTTGCTGAAATTACTAATTAATATAAGACTCATAGATATGAATTGCTTTATAATCAGCTCATATGTATGAGTAATAATACAATCGTATCTTGCTAATAAAATTAACATGAGGTTCACAGTTCATACAATACTAATTTGCAATCGAAATGATTTGATTTATAATTATAGTCAAGATCATGTGTGTGTGTGTGTGCGTGTGTGTGTGTATGTGTGTAAAGATTTTAAGTGTGGAACCACAATTATCATGTAAATGACTAATGGGAAGAACTGAAGAAGTAATCATAAATTGATTTCTTGTTTCTTTTAGTATCAGAGTTAATTATATGTCTGCCAATAACAATGAAAATATATTTACTTGAATATTTGACTTGACAGTTATTGACCAATTTATCAAGCAGAAGCAGCAGCAGGAGAAACTAGAACATGATTTGAATGGGGCAGTGCTTGAGCTATTGTACAGAGATAGATTCAGAAAATATTTGGCCATTTATTTTAGAGATTGCTTTTGGTCAAAAAAATGTATTTAGGAAGTACAGTATTCTTTAAAATTTTTTTTTTCTGTTCTGTAAAACCCAGGTAGCATGTAATTAGAACTTGAATGATAGCATTTACCTTTCAGGGCTCAGTGAGTCCTTTAAAAATATATGGTTGCAAAAGTCTCAGATTATATAGTATGAGTACTTTGTGCCTTGGATAGCTACACTATGCCTGGTTAGGTTTTGTAATATGAAAACAGAAAGATGAGAACATACCTTGGATCTGCATTAATGCTTACCAATTTATCTAAAGCTTCTGATAGTCAAGGAAAGGTTTTATAGACTCGATGACAGAACAATTCAAAATTAAGAATTCACAGAACATCTAAAAGAAGATCTTCTATTTTTAAAAATAGCATATAGTAAAAAATTTGGGCATATAGTTTTTATGCGCATATTAGGAAATAAACACTATAATACTATAGTCCCTTAAGTGAAAGTAAATACAGGAAAATCGCAGGTTGTTCTGGGAATGTTTCATTTATTTTTTATTCTTATTTTAACTTATTGAATAAACATAATAATAATAAGGAATATTTCATGAATTTTTAAAGGAAAATCATATAGAAATAAAAAAGTAATAAAGGTGGTTCCATTTACTTCCTTACTTCAAAATATACACATTTCTTTCTTTTTCATTGTAAAAAGTAAGGGACCCTTTCAGAACAGCAGGCAGAGTCATATCCTTTAGCACTGTATTACCTTTGGGAAAGAACAAAATAATAAGTTATTATCATGTATAATATTGAAATGGAGTTCTATAATTGAGGATTTTTCGTTTTTAAAAAAAGAATTATTTATTTATTTAATTCCATTTGTTATTGTTAGCGTTTTTTAATTTGACCATCAGAGAGAGAGAGAGAGAGAAAGGGGTCTGGGACATGAACCATGGTCGGCCATGTGGGAATCCAGCGCCCTTATCCATTACACTGCCTGCTGTCCGCGAGGATTTTTCTTTCTTTATGTTTAATCAAAAATAATCTTAGAGCACCAGCAGTTAGCGTAATGGCTATGTCGCTGGACTCCCACGTAGTCAACAGTGGTTTGACAGACCCGGTGGCTTAAACTCATGCATGTGCGTGTGCGTGTGTGCCCAGGATCCCAAGAGGAGAATGGAGGAGAAGGGATTACGGCGTGGCCATCCCCCCTTGGGGGGTGATTTCTTGCTTTCTGTTTCTCTCTGTCTGTCTGGCGAGCGCACGTGCCCTATAGCAAAAACCTCTCAAAAAAAAAAAAAAGAAAAAAGAAAAAATCTTAGCTTCTGCCTAAATTAATCTAATTGTTGATTAAATATGCAGCATAGATAAAAGAAGGGCATTATTTTCCCCTCTAATTAATACTTCTTTAAATAGCATGTGAATTATTTAATCTTAATTTTAGAAAATAAAGTGAAAGTTATGTTTGTCAAAATGTATCACACCTGTATTTCTATTCATTGTGACTAAGACAAATTTTGAAAAGTTACACTTCGTTACATATAGTCTCTGTGTCACCTTCATGTGGAATTCCTTACAGCCATGTGATTGAAAATGTTGACAGTCCCAGATGAAGCTGAAGGGGGATGGGTCAGAGCATAAGGTAAGAATTAACCTTAAACGAGAGGAGAAATACCTCTTGTGTTGTAATAACTAAAAATAATAGGTGGAATCTGGCAAACAATTATTTTTGTATAAGATCTTTGCTAAGCATTTTACAAACATTATCTCAATTTTCACAAGAAGCTTATGCAATTAGTATTACTGTTACCTCCATTATACATTTAAGATATTTTAGGGCCAGCAGGTAGTGTGATGGGTAAGGTGGCTGGATCCCACAGGTCCAGCGCAGTTTGAGTCTTGGACCTGGTGGCTTGAAAAACACACTGGGCTGGGAACCAGCACTTAGCATATTGGCTATGTCACTGGACTCCCACGTAGTTGACCGCGATTCACGTCCCGGACCCGCAGGCTTAAACTCACACCAGGTGCATGTGCGTGCATGCCCAAGATCCCAGAGAGGAGAATGGAGGAGGAGGGATTGCGGCGTGACCATCCCCCCGGGGGGTGATTTCTCGCTTTCTGTCTCTATGTCTCTCTCTGTCTGTCTGGCGAGCGCACGCACCCTATAGTGAAAAATCTCTCCAAAAACAAACAAACAAAAAAACACACTGGGCTCTTGTATGTGTGTGCATGCCCAAAATCCTGAGAGGAGAATGGAGAAAAAGGGGTTTTTGTGTGGCCATCCCCCCCCAAGTGGTGCTTTCTCACTTTCCCTTTCTCTTTTCTGTGTTTTTGGCAAGTACATGTGCCCTATAGCAAAAAAAAAAAAAAAAAGATGGTTAGTAGTACAGTTGACCATTTGACAACAGGTTTTTACTGCCCAGGTCCACTTACATGTGTGTGTGTGTGTGTTTGTGTGTGTGTGTGTGTGTGTGTGTGTGTTTAATACTGTAAATGTATTTTCCTTATGGTTTTCTTTTCTGTAGTTTTCTTTGTGTGAGAAGACAGTATGTAGTACATGTAACAGAGAAAAATATGTGTTAATAGACTGTTTATATATCAGTAATGCTTCCAGTCAATAGTAGGCTATCAGTAGTAAAGTTTTAGGGGAGTCAAAAGTTACATCAGATTTTAGAACATGGGGGGGGGTCAGTTCCCCTAACCTTTTGTTCAAGGGTCAACTGTAGATCTAAGATTTGAACCTACATAGGTTGACTAGAGAGCCCTTGCTTTAACCACTATCCTGTAGTGTAAAAGGAAAATGGAAAGGGTGAGAGTAGATGTGGCAAAATTTGAACACTTAGTGACAGAACACTTAAGGCATGATTCACTAAATGTAATCTCTTAGCTTTATTATGTCAACAGATTTGACAAGTATGTGTCATGTATATTTAAAGAAGCTATGAATAAGAAGTTATCATTTATTTTCTCCTCTGCTTTATCAGTGGAATATCCTTAATGCAAGCAAGGTAATACTTTAATTTGGAAAGATTTCCCTGTAATCATCTACCTACACATTATTAAAGATCTATCTCAGTCAGGCATTAGATTAGGATAAATAATATGTGGTCTTTTTCTTTGAGGGACTTGAAGTCTGAAGTATTACCCAGACCTTAGAGAAGAGGCACTATCAACTTAGTGTGCTCTCAGTTGCAGATAATAAAAGTTGACTTCAGAATGGCTTAAACAGTTTTAGGAAATTATTGACTAATATAACTGAAAGTCCAACATTTGATTTGACAGTTGTATCATTTGGACTGCATCATATTTTTTATACAAAAAAAATCTAGCCATGGTGGCTTTGCCAAATAAGAGTTTATTTTTTCTCCTATAATAGGAGGTTTAGAGTAAGACAATCCAGAGTCATTTATTAAGTCTGTTCAAGGAAATTCTAAAAGACTCCAGTGTATTCTACCATTTGTTCTCCCATCCTTAGTATGTGGCTTTCATCCTTATAGTCGCAGATACTGTTCCATCCACAGGCATATCTGAATTCTAGATGGAAAAAGAAGAAAGAATAAACATCAAAAGGTTTCTCTTCATGTGGCTTTGTAATGTTTTAGGGGAAGGAAAGTCCTCTCTGAAGGCTTAGACCTACATTTCAAGGACTAGGATTTCGTCACATGGTCATTGTTGGCAAAGCAATCTAGAAATGTATTTTTAAGTAGGTACAGTTATTGCTCTGAACAGAATTGAAATTTTACCAGTAAAGGAGATGAGTGTAATAGCTGGCTGCCTTTGTGTTCCCCAAATAGTTCTGGACTCCTAGGGTCACATGCTTTTTTGTTCAAAAATCAAAGAGAGGGAACCAGCAGTTAGCATAATGGCTATGTCGCTGGACTCCCATGTAGTCAACCGTGGTTCGCGTCCCAGACCTGGTGGCTTAAAAAACTCACGCTGGGCACGTGTGCGTGTGTGCCCAAGATCCCGAGAGGAGAATGGAGAAGGGATTGCAGCATGACCATCCCCCCTGGGGGGTGATTTCTCGCTTTCTGCCTCTCTGTCTCTCTCTGCCTGTCTGGCGAGCGCACGCGCCCTATAGCAAAAACCTCTCCAAAAAAAAGAAAAAATCAAAGAAAGAAAAGACGATGTTTGCAGAGACTTTTTCTTAAAAGCACGGGTATTTATTTCCCAGACTCTCATCAGATAACTTCTCCCATCTCATTTCCATGAGCTGTAATATGTTACTACCTCTGAACTAATAACTGTGGTCAAGGATTCATAACTTCTCCCAAATTCAGTAGTTTTCCTAGGGATGGCGTAGGTTCAAAAAAATACTAAGTGGTAACCTAGGAAAGGAGAAATGCATATTAGGGAGGCAACCACACTGTTTACAAGAAAGGTTTAGCAGAGAGTCCCTGTAGTTGGGTATCGATTAGGTTTATCATTTACTCTTAGTATGATTTATCATATATGACAGTATAATGAGAGGATTTTCCCTCTAATCCCTCAGATAAAGATGAATTATTTTTTGTTAAAGTCCTTAAAAAGCTTTTCATATTAAATATACTTTAAATTCTTTTATTTCAACACAGAACTCAATTTAATGATCGCTTGGGATGTTTGGATATATGATATGATTGAACTGATAAAAAGAAGTAAGGACACGTAATATATTTAGTTATGCCTGGGGAAAAGAAAGCACTTAATGATGAGGTGAAAATAATTAATAAATAGCTAATACATAATGTGATAAGCAGCCCATATAAGTCACATAAATATGCTACCATTTAAAAATACATAAAAGTATACCTTGTGAAGAATATATAAAAACATAGTAAAACATAATGAATGCATAGGGATGATAAATTAGGTTGTCAGGAAAGTCATGACATATTTTTCTATGTTTTTCTGTGAAAAAACGTGTTCCTGATGACCTAGTAGCACAATAGGATAGTGATTGCAGCCAGACACAGTTGCGTGTACCTGTGGTTCCAGCTAATAAAGAAGCTGAGTCAGGAGGATTGCAAGTTTGAGGCTAGCCTGAGTAACATAGCAAGATGCTGTCTCAAAAAAACTGGAAAAGCAACAGCCAGAAAACCAACCAATGAACAAAAGGTTGTGATTAGATAATTATTTGGATCATGATTTGGAATTTACTCCTCAATAATGGTTTTGAAAAGTAGAGAGGCTTTTAATAGATGAGGCATGGTGGGCAGTGATTGGACATCATGAGTGGATTTCATAAGACCGAGTTGGTTTTAGCTCTTAGGAGAAGGAATTATTTCCCACAGGGGCAGATTGGAGTAGAAAGAAGTTGACCGCTTCTTGATCTCTCTCTCTGCATGCACCTGCCATCCCTCTCTGCTTTTGGTAGCCTTGTGATGAAGGCTGGGCTGGTAACCCCATGCTATTGGACTTTCTAGCCACCAGAATTGTGAGTCAAATAAGCCTCTTTTTAAAGACGACCCATCTATATCATACATATGAACACAGAAATCATTTCTGATATGACTTAGCGAAGTAGAATTGTGGCCATGGCAGGTCCCATTTGTTCTCAATCAGTCATTTATTTAGACTTCATATTTGTCTCTGATATAGGTGGAAGATAACTATTATCAGGGCTGAGTATAAAGGGAACTTAAGCTACATATAATGTTTGATTTTTGGGGGGTGGGAAGGGAGAGATTTTTGCCTTAGGGCACATGCACTTGCTGGAGAGAGAGAGATCGATCGAGACTGAGACAGTGAGAAGGAAAGTGAGAAATCACTCCCCAAGGGGGATGACCGTGTTGTAATCCCTTCTCCTTTTCCTCCTGGGTTTTGGCATGCGTGGACATGTGCCCCGTATGATTTTTCAAGTCACCTGGTCCAGGACTCAAACCATGGTCAACCATGTGGAAGTCCAGCTATGTAACCACTATGCCATCTACTGGGACCAATGTTTGATTTCTTTCATCATCATCTTGGCATTTCCTCTTTTTTCTGGTGAGTAAATTTTCAAATCATGGGTAACGCTTTTCATATTTCTTTCAAAATGCAGAAAACAGCTGCCAGAAAACGAGAAATCACCCCCCAGGGGGGATGGTCACGCCACAGTCCCTTCTCCATTCTCCTCTCGGGATCTTGGGCACGCACGCACACGTGCCCAGCGTGAGTTTTAAGCCACCGGGTCCAGGACACGAACCACGGTCGACTACGTGGGAGTCCAGCAACATAGCCATTACGCTAACTACTGGTTCCCTCTTTTCTGTTTTTTTTTTAAAGAGAGATTTTTGTTATAGGATGTGTGTGCTTGCCAGAGAGGCAGAGAGAGACAGAGACATAGAAAGCGAGAAATCATCTCTCTAGGGATGAAGGCCACACCGCAGTGCCTTCTCTTCTGTTCTCCTCTTGGGATCCTGGGCATGCGTGCACATGAATTTTAAGCCTCTGGGTCTGGGACTCAAATGGTGTTCAACTATATGGGAGTTTGGTGACATAACCATTATACCATCTGTTGGTCCCCCAATGTTTGATTTCTTAAGCTGGATGTAGGACATAGCTATTGGTCCCTTTAAAAAGTAAAACGTATGTTTTAGGGACCAGCAGTTGACATAACAGCTATGTCGCTGGACTCCCATGTAGTCGACCGCGGTTCGAGTCCGGTGGCTTAAACTCATGCCAGGAACGCATGCGTGCATGCCCAAGATCCTGAGAGGAGAATGGAGGAGAAAGGATTGCAGCGTGGCCAAACCCCCTGGGGGGTGATTTCTTGCTTTCTGTCTCTCTGTGTCTCTCTGTCTTCCTGGTGAGCACACCTGCCCTGTAGCAAAAACCTCTCCAAAAAAAAAAAAAGTAAAATGAATGTTTTAAAAGTTACAA